CTGGATAAAACAGAAGGATGGATTAGAGAGCTAGAAAACAAAGCCCTGGAACTCACCCAGACAGAGGAGCAAAAAGAAAAAGGAATTCTAAAAAAATGAAGATAAATTAAGAGATCTATGGGACATCATCAAGTGAAACAGTATTTGCATTATAGGGTTCCCAAAGGAGATGAGAGAGGGAAGGAGCAGAAAACTTACTTGAAGAAATAATGGCTGAAAACTTACCTAACCTGGGGAAGGAAACAGACATCCAGGTCCAAAAAGCCCAGAGTTCCAAATAAAATGAACCCAAAGAGATCCACACCAAGACACATTATAATTGAAATGTCAAAAGTTAAAGAGAAAAATCTTAAAAGCAATACAAGCAATTTGTTACATACAAAAAAAAAAAACACAAAAAACCCACAGGGCTATCAGCAGATTTTGCAGCAAAAACTGTGCAGGCCAGAAGCGAGTGACATGACATATATAAAGTACTGAAAGGAAAGAACTTCCAACCAAGAATGCTCTACCCAGCAAACACTCAGAATTGAAGGAAAGAGTTTTTCAGAAAAGCAAAAGCTAAAGGAGTTCATCACCACTAAACTGTTTTTTCAAGAAATGTTAAAGGGACCTTTTAAGCTGAAAAGAAATGGCTCTAATTAACAACAAGAAAACATATGAAGTAAAAATCTCTTTGGAAAAAGTAAATTATGTAGTGAAGGTAGTGGATAAATCAACCTATAAAGCTAGTATGAAAAGACAAAAATAGTAAAATAAACTAGAACTACAATAATTATTAAAGGATACATAAAATAAGAGGTAAAATGTGACATCAAAAACATAAAATGTGGGGGGGGTGGTAAAAATGTAGAGTTCTGGAATGAGTTCAAGTTTAATTTGGTATCAACCTAAAATAGACTGTTCTATACATAGAGTGTTATATATGTTATATATATGTATTACCTCATGGCAACCACACAGCAAAAACTTAGAGTAAATAAAAGAAAATGAGAAAGGAATCTAAACACAACACTAAAGAAAGACAACCACAAGAAAAACGATATCCATGGAAAAGAAAACTGGTGTAGCTATACTCTTATCAAACACAGAAAGCTTTGAAACAAAGACTGTAATAAAAGACAAAGAAGGGCATTACATAATGATTAAGGAGTCAATCAAACAAGAAGATATAAAGTTTATAAATATATATGTACCCAATAAGAGGAGCACCAAAATATATAAAGCAAATATGAACACACTGAAAGGGGGAAATTGACAGCAATACAATAATGGTAGGGGACTTTAACACCCTACTTACAACATCTGACAGAAATAAGAAAATCAATAAGGAAACATCAGTCTTAAACAACACCTTAGACCAGGTGGACCTAATAGATACATACAGAACATTTCATCCAAAAGCAGCAGAATACACATTCTTCTCAAGTACACATGGAACATTTTCCAGGACAGACCACATGTTAGCCCACAAAAAAAGTCTCAATAAAATCAAGATTGATATCGTATCAAGCACCTTTTCCAACCACAATGGTATAAACTAGAAATCAACACCAAGAAGAAAACCAGAAAACCAGAAGCAGACTGCCATGTTGTGGAGAGGATCACGTGGCAGGGAATGTCAGCAATCTCTGAGAGATATGGGCCTCAGTCTTACAACTATGAGAACATGAATTCTGCCAACTTAAATAAGTTTAGTAGAGGACCCCAAGATTCAGATGAGAATGCATTCTAGACAACACCTGGATTTCAGCCTTGTGAGATCAAGCGGTCAATCCAGCTACATACCATGTCTAGATTTCTGACCTACAGAAACTGTGAGGTAATAAATGGATGTTTTTAGCCACTAGATTTGTGGTAATTTGTTACACAGCAACAGAAAACTAGTATTTAAAATTGTCAAGGTCATGAAAGACAGGAAAAAGTGAAAAACTCTTACAGACTGAAGGAGACTATGGAGACATGACAACTAAAGGTAGTTTGTATTCTTGGAACAGAAAACAGATGTTAATGGAAAAAAACTGATGAGATCTGAATAAATCCTATAGTTAACATATTGTACCAAGGCTAATTTCTTCATTTTGATAATTGTTCTATGATTATGTAAGATGTTAACATAAGGGGAAATCAGGTGAAGGGTATACAGGAATTCTCTATACTATTTTTTGCAACTTAATTATAAATCTAAATTTATCTCAGAAATTGTCTCTAAATATTATTTCCACTAGATGATAATAGAGCTCTTTGGTATGATGGCTGACTCCAGGTGTGAAGCAAGAAATTTACAAGATGAGCCTTGCATTAGCCAGAGAAAAAGAACAAACAGGATAATGAATCAGCTCAAGTGATTCCCAAGATCTGAAGGGTGAGTCAGAAAGCCAGAGACCCAGGAGAGCCAGTGGCTTAGTTCCAGTCTAAGCACAAAGGCCTGAGAAACAAGAGAACCAATGGTGTAGTTCCTGTCCAAAGGCTGACAGGCTTGAGACTCAAAACGAGCTGGTATTTCAGTTCAGTTGTGAAGGCAGGAAAAAAGCTGATGTCCCAAATTAGAAGGCAGTCAGGAAGGAGCAGTTTCCTTTTATTCAGCCATTTTGTTCTATTCAGGCCTTCATCACCCACATTAGAGAGGACAATCTGCTTTACTCAGTGTGCCAATTTAAATGTTAACCTCATCCCAAAACACCCAGGATAATGTCTGACAAACTATCTGGGCACCCCATGGCCCAGTCAAAGTCAACACACAAAATTAATCATCACTAGCCTGGAGCATTTTGTTCTGACAGAAAGCAAGGAAGCTATCAGATTAAGGGAGTCTTGTCAAAAGGACACAGAACCAATAAAGGCATCCATTGGCCAAAGATGGGGCAATCTGAGCATCAAAAAGGATAATAGATGCAATTAATTCAAGTATTAAAGACCCATGAGTCCATAAAGATTTTTTTAAAAAGGAAAAAGTCAAAAACTAAAGAAAATTTTAAAAAACAACATTGACAGACACCAACGGAAGTGACCAGAGCACCAACTCTGAAAATTAAGTATATATCTCCCTTTCCAGTAATAACTATATTTCAGGGTACTAAATAACCCTAGTTGATGTGGGAAAGTTCTTTACAAAGGAATTTCAGCTAATTAAATGTGAAAGGAATAACGAAATTAGAAAATCAGTGTCCTGCAACCCCTAACGAAAGGAAAGATTCATTTGCGAAACCACAGATGAAAGGCTGATTGGGAATTTTACAACAGAGGTACCAGAATGTACATGTTTATCAACACGAGCATCACTACAAGTGGACCAAGCAGACATCATGTGCCTACAGATATGGTACAATATCAAGGACAGCATCACCTATGGAGTGCTTGCCAAACGTTGTACCTAAATCTAATCAGGCCTTTAGGATTAACTTCCATTTTGAGGAAATATAAAAATTAGGGAAACAAATTAAATGAACAAATGAGAAAGCAAACAGGTAAATTCAGAATACAGGATATCCTATAAAACTGGCCTAATTTGACAAGTTAAAAACATGAAGTTAAAAAAATAAAGGATGGGGGGGGCGCCTGGGTGGCTCAGTCGGTTAAGCAGCTATCTGACTCTTGATTTTGGCTTGGGTCATGATCTCAGGGTTATGAGATTGAGCCCCACATCAGCTCCATATTAGGCATGAGCCTGCTTAAGATTCTCTCTCACCCTCTCCCTCTGCCCCTCCCTCCAGCCTCTTTCTCCCACTTAAAAAAAAAAAAGGATGAATGAGGGAGGGACTGTTTTAGATTAAGAGGTACCTAACAGACATGACAACCAAATATACTGTATGAATCTTATTTGGATCCTGATTAAAACAAACCAACTGTAAAAGCAGATTTTGACACAATCACAAAAACTTGATTATGGAATGGCATTAAATAATGCCTAGAATTTACTGTTAAATGTATTAGTTGAGACCGTGGTATTATTCTACTACTATGTAAGAAAATATCTACATTTTGTAAGATACATACTGAAGTATACAGGAAATAGGTGCTATGATATCTGGGATTTCCTTTAAAATTAAAGAAAAAATAAGAATAAAAAGAATGGGGAAAAAAATCTAATCCCTAGGATCTTATTGCTCAGAGTTGAAAAATCATGTCTAAGCCTTATGAATTTATAACTCAGAGGGATGGATACCACTTTTAAAAGTTGCTTTTGCCATTCCTCACAATATTCTAAAAATGTTGAACATACAGCAGGAACTAAAAAAATTTTGAAATATCAGAAAACCTTTTTCACATTTATGAGAACTCATTTCTTATTGGTTTCCCCTTTTTACTACCCTCATCCTTTAAAATATTTAGAAGTTTCCACAGAAAAATTATCTCCATATTTAGGAATTATATACATACAGTACTTGAATTCTTCAAGGCAGCATTTCAAAATCAAAACTATTAGTACATTCATACCTAATACATACAAGTTCATTTTCTACCACTGAATAATGTACATGTTTAATCTCAGTAAATTCAAAAAAGGTACACTTAAATTTTTTTCTTTCGAATTTTATGGAAAGCAACCTAATTTTACTTACATGAACAAAACTGTGGAAGTCAGTAATTACGGATTTCATATTTATGAAAACAAAACATAACAAAACCCTGAGTCTTACTCTGTTACAGGCACTATTAAGTGCTTTGCATGTACTAACTATTAATTATTAAAACTCCTACAAAGTGGAGTTATAATTATAAATTATATATTATAAATGCCATTTTATAGATGAGGCAGAAAAGTAAAATCAATTTACCCAGGGTTCCAGAGCTTGCTTACATACAGCGGTACTAGGATTTAAAGTCATACAGTCTAACTCCAAAAACCCAGCTCTTTACCACTACACTGGGCTGACTTACGATGAGACATCCTTTACCTAATGTTACTATGTATCTATTCAATTCCAGTATCAGCAGCTGGATCTCATTTCCAACGAGAAAATGAAGAAAAAAATGTCAGAATGAATAGTAAAATGTACCTTTTGAATGGCCTCTTCCATATCCAACTCAAACTGTTCATTCTGTAATAATCTGAGGAATCTCTTACGCTCCACGAGGTCATCATTTTCATTCTGCACCATTTGGTCCCTGATTTGATTTTGTATCTTTCTTACTGATTGGACATGCAGTTGTTTGCAGTAATTTATATCTACTCGTTTCTGATGCCTTTCACTGAAGCTCAAAGTTCGCCTTTTAGAAGCCTATAATGGAGAGAAAAAAAAGTACGCATACTTTGGTATTCCAAAATTTAATTTTTAAAAGTATACCGCTGCAAGCCCTAGGTACAAAAATAGGTAACAGTAATAAACAAAGGGCTTTTGGCTTCCTTCCTAAATTCAGAGAACTGTAACATAATAAAACAGGTACACATGGTAGATAAATATATTGGTATATCAATAAATTACTTTTATTATTCCCCATCTTATAGATGAGACATGAAAAGTAAAAGCAACTTTATCCAAGATTCCTCGGCTTAAATAAATAGCAGTACTAGGATTCAAAGACCCGCAGACGAGCTCTATAGACCTAGCTCTTAACCACAACACAGGGAATTCCTCCTCTCCTCATTCCCCACCCCAACCCCCACCCCGGCGCCTCGCTTACCCCTAGGCCAGAAAGTGCCATTCTGAAAAAAGCTGGTCAGGTTTTCCTAATACGGATTTAATAGGTCAATCCGCTGCTACTTAATTCATTTGCTCTCTCCTGAACTTTTTTCCCCACTTATTCTTTCAACGTTCTTAATCTTTTCCCAAATTTCCAGAAATATGGCAAACAAAATTTTCACCGGGCAGAACTAATAGAGTCAGAATTTGAAAAGGCTGGAAGCCACCGCGAGCGTTGCTTAAACAATAGCACATGAGGCCTCCGAAAGCAAACTGAACGAGTTTCCCACTTAATTCTCAGATTAGGCACTCCAAATCCTTTTTTAGATGCAGGGAGGCTCCAAACTACAATTAAATCAGTAGATAAACAAGCAGTTTGGAGACCGCCGACGGGCTCACCATCTCGGCAGAGGAAAATCCCCCTCTCGGGATGCAGCGGCCACGACCTCCCGCTGCAAAAGCAGTGGCGGGCTGAGAGCTCCGATGTTTACGCGGTTTCCTGGCAACTGCCGCTGCCCTAGAGGGTGCAACGCCCGCCGACGCAGGGCGCGGCCTCTCATAGTGCGCAGCAAGAGCCAATCGGCACTGAGCTTCTTGGGAGGCTGGCAGGGAGGTGGCTTCCTGGTCTAAGAGACTAGGCGGGAATTTCAAATCCCGTATCCTGGCGCGAGCTCTTTGCAGCCCTTTAGGGCGCTCGCGATTTCCCTCAAGCTGCTGAATTCTGTGATTTGGGTGGGGTTGGGAGTCAGGGGGAAGGTCTGCGGAAACGGTTTACACAGAAATACGCAAACTCCTGGGGCGCCTGGGTGGCTCAGTCGTTGAGGGTCTGCCTTGGCTCAGGTCATGATCGCAGTGTCTCGGGATCGAGCCCCGCATCGGGCTCCCTGCTCAGCGGGAAGCCTGCTTCTCCCTCTCCCACTCCCCCTGCTTGTGTTCCTGCTCTCGCTGCGTCTCTGTCAAATAAATAAAATCTTTAAAAAAAAAAAGAAAGAAAGAAATATGCAAATTCTTGTCTAGTACATGGGGCCAAAATCACTTTCCACTCACAGAAAGTCCTGTGCCCTCAATGCTGGTTATGGTGAGTTGCAGACTGGTTTCATGTTTAGCAGTAGGAGGCACGGTCATCGTCCCCCTAGCTGGGTAACTGGGAGGCTTTTTGGGTAGTGGGTGCTTGCAGCCGCCTTCACCGCAACCCCTAACAGATGCTGTTGGTAAACTTTGGTAATAAAATGTATGGGTCACATGGATCTTCTGCTGTGGAATACATGGTCCAGGTACCAATGAGAGGGCAGATAGATGGTGGCAGGATGTGATCAGGTTTATTTTATTGGCAGGTAGATGCTAAAGTCCATTTTAAATGGGAGTATTTAAGAATAGGAATGAGTCAGAGAAATTAGTCAAATATATTGATTTTAGAGATGACCGAGAAATCCTTTAAAAACAACAACAAAATTAAAGATAGTGTGAGAACTTGACTTAGTTCATGTTATCTAATTTGAAGTCCATCATATGCAGCAATATGTCTGCTTTAAGATTAATAACCAAGAGGACTTCCAGTTTTAGCTCTAAAATGTAAAAGCTTGAAGTTATCGCTTCCATCCTCACTACCAGAAGAAGCTGAACAAACTAAAAACTACTGATTTTTCTTGGAGTCATTGTAGAACTGAAGTCACAGGACACACCACAACCCTGAAATCTGGAGAGGTGAATCCAGGGAGTCACATCTGGGACCTACTTACCTAGAGCAGAAGCCTCTGAAGCCAGAAAGGAGGAATACCTGAATGGTAAATTTGATGAACTCCTGGAGACTGAGTGAGGCTAGTGTGAGTGAAGCTACTGGGGGCTGCAGTCGTGGGGGGCCCCAACACTTCCGTGGGTTTTGTTTCCAGGAACTCCAGCAAGTTCTCACCATGAAAAACCAAGAAAGATCTCTTGTGGCTCTAGTAAGGGGATGAGATTAATAATTATTGTCAAATATATCCAGAGCCTTCTCCTTAATAAAGGCCTACTTTCCAGAAGAAAAGACTTTAGCAAAGCCATATCCCACCCAGGGCAAGGACAGTTCTCTGACCACAGCCTCCTCCAGCCTTCCTGTCTCTCCTAAGTAGAGAGGAGGGAGCTAAGAAACAGTTGTGAAGGTCACAGCCCAAGGACACTAAAAGAGGTTTAATGATAAAATTATAGAACACTTTTCTTCCCACGCTTTCCCACTGCACCAACAGTGCTTCCGTATAGTAACAGTGGAGGACAGCTGCGAACCCTGCAGACACACACCGACAAGGAATGCTTAAGGAAATCCAAAGACAACAGGAGACAAAAACACAAATACTAGAGGAATTTAAAGCTTCTAGAATGAACAGCTACAGCAAATATTAAACACAACCCAACTCCTAGTTGTGTAATAAAAACCCTCACATTAAAGCACTATTTACCTCAATCCCTGCCACCCAAGATACCACAGCCAGTTTTCAACAAAAAACAGCAAGGCTAAAGGCAAGAAAAAACTCAGCCTGAAAGGCAAAATAAGCATTAGATCTAGACTGAGCTATGACACAGATTGGAGGATTATTAAACAGTAATATAAAATAACTATGCTTAATATGCTAAAGGATCTGATGGAAAATGGGGACAACGGATGGATAATGTACACGGGGAAATGGAAACTGAAAGAATCCAAAGGAAATTCTGAAACTAAGAAATAATGTAACAAATGAAGAATGCCCTCGCCGGCTTATAGGAGACTGGACAACACTGTGGAGAGAATCAGTGAGCTTGAAGATCTGTCAAGAGAAACTTCCCAAACTGAAATGCAAGGAAATTAGCAGTAAATAGATAATCCTATTGGGTTTGTGGACTTCACCTTAGAATCAAATTGTTTTCTACATTAGAAGAGAATTGTGTGTGTGTGTGTGTGTGTGTGTGTGTGTGTGTTGGGGGAGATGGTAATTGTCAAGGTTTCTGTCTTTTGGGAGATCATATAAATCCAGTTACCACAAAAGTCAAATTGATCATACGGATACAGTGCAAAACATTTTGAAAGCATTTACTCCCGTTTGGCTAGCAATTTCGACAAGAACTCTACAAAAAACATGATTTATGTATAGCTTCTTATCAAGTAGCCTCTAATTAAAATTTTGCTAGTTGGGCTGTCAGCAGGAATTTTTGTTTTGGTTTGAACACTGATTAGTGCCTAGTATATCATAAGTGATAAATAAATATTTGTTAAATGAAAAAATGATTGAAATTATATTACTGTTATGCACATAGGAAAAAGCTCTACCCAGAAATCACTTTGAAGAAGTATTGTTCTTCATCATTTAGAGTTTTATCAAATTTACTTATATTTTCAAAGAGCAAACTTTTGGTTTTATTAGTTTTTTTCTATATATATTTTTTTGTTTCCAATTCCACTGTTTGCTGCTCTTTTTTTTTTTTTAAAGATTTTATTTATTTATTTGAGAGAAAGAATGAGAGAGAGAGAAAGCACATGAGAGGGGGGAGGGTCAGAGGGAGAAGCAGACTCCCTGACAAGCAGGGAGCCCAATGCGGGACTCGATCCAGGGACTCCAAGATCATGACCTGAGCCGAAGGCAGTCACTTAACCAACTGAGCCACCCAGGTGCCCCTGTTTGCTGCTCTTACCATCATTATTTTCTTCCCTGTTTGCTTTGGGTTTAATTTGCTCTTCTCTTTATAGTTTCATAATGTGGAAGCTTAAATCTTCATTTAAGACAATTCTTCTTTTCAAATATAAATGTTTAATATGAATTTCCCTCTAAGCACTGTTTTAGCTGCCTCCCACAGATTTTAATATATTGTCCTTTCTCATTCATTCAATTCAAAATATCAAAGACTTATTCTTTGACCCATGAGTTATTTAGAAGCATTTGTTAATTTTCCAACTATTTCACATTTCCAGGTGTCTTTTTGTTACTGATTTCTAGTTAATTCCATTATGGTCAAAAAACATTACTCTGTATGACTTCAAATCTTTTAAGTTGTAGAGGTTTGTTTTATTCTGCAGAATATGGTCTATCTTGGTAAATGTTTCACATGTCCTTGAAAAGACTATGCATTCAGGTACCTTGGGTGAGGTATCCTCTAAAGATCACTAAGGTCAAATTGTTTGAGAATGCTGTTCAGCGGGGGCGCCTGGGTGGCTCCGTCAGTTAAGCGTCTGCCTTCGGCTCAGGTCATCATTCTGGGGTCTGAGACCAAGTCCCATGTCGGGCTCCCTGCTCAGCGGGGAGCCTGCTTCTCCCTCTCCCTCTGCTGCCCCCCTACTTGTGCTCTCTCTCTCTGACAAATAAATAAATAAAATCTTTTTTTAAAAAAAGAGTGAGAGAATGCTGTTCAGGTATTCCGTGTCCTTAAAGTATTTCTATTTGCTTTATCAATTACTGAGAGAAGTGTTGAGGTCATCAAGCATCATTGTGGATTTGCTTATTTCTCTTTTCAGTTCTTTTTTTTGCTGCATCTTTTAAAGTACTAGTTAGGTATATACACCTGTAGGATTATTATATCCTGATAACATTTTGATGTTAACATTTGAAACACCCCCTCTTTTTCCCTGGTAATATTCTTAGTTCTGAAGTCTATTTGATATCAATGTAGCCACCCCAGCTTTCTTTTAACTAATGTTTACACAGCATATATTTCTCTATGCTTTTACTTTTCTATCTAATTATCTTTCTATTTATATTATCTACATCTTTACATTTAAAATGGCTTTCCTATAGATAGCATTTAGTTGGGTATTATTTTCTTATTTGATCTGATAATCTCCATCTTTTTAAAGTATAATTAGCATGCAGTGTTATATTAGTTTCAGGTTTAGAATATAGTGACTCAACATTTCCATACATTTCTCAGTGCTCATCAAGATAAGTGTACCCCCCCCTTTATCTAGTTCACCCATGCCCCACCCACCTCCCCTCTGGCAACCACTAGTTTGTTCTCTGTATTTAAGAGTTTGGTGTTTGGGGGGTTTTTCTCTTTGTTCATTTGTTTTGTTTCATCACTAATCATCAGGGAAATGCAAATCAAAACCACAATGAGATATCACTTTACACCTGTCAGAATGGCTAAAATAAAAAACACAAGAAATAACAAGTGCTGGTGAGGATGTGGAGAAAAAGGAAACTTGTTGGTGGACTGTTGGTCGGAATGCAATTGGTGCAGCCACTATGGAAAATGGTATGGAGTTTTCTCAATGCATGCTCTGGATGGCAGAACAGAAAAATAGAAGGAGCCTCAGTTTTTCATGCCTACAGAGCTACCACTCCAGCCCTGGGCTGCATAACTCCTGACCTCATGCTGTATGAAAGAAGAATAAGTTCCTAATGTACCTAAACCTCTGTGTCCTCTTCTTCACTCAGGATTCTATTATTATTATTAGCCAAGTACAATTCCTAACAAACCACCATCTCTGTTTAATCTCATGGGTGAAAATGATTAAGAAAAACAGGAGCACCTGGGTGGCTGGGTTTAAGCGGCTGCTTTCGGCTCAGG